ACACTTCTAAACAGGGGTGCATATGTTGCATACAATGCATGGCGCTCCTACAATGCTCAGGAAAAAATACCAAAAATGGCACTGACTCTTTGAGTCGTGATTGACAAACTCACCTGCTGAGGAGCCTCTATTGCGCCTCACTGAGGCGGGAAGTTGGAAGGCTGGGGAAAGATGGGAGCGTTCATTTGTAAGGCAGGATTTGGAGAACAATTGGCACACTTCTAAACAGGGGTGCATATGTTGCATACATTGCATGGCGCTCCAACGATGCTCAGGAAAAAATACCAAAAATGGCACTGACTCTTTGAGTCATGATTGACAAACTCACCTGCTGAGGAGCCTCTGTTGCGCCTCACTGAGGCGGGAAGTTGAAAGGCTGGGGAAAGATGGGAGCGTTCATTTGTAAGGCAGGATTTGGAAAACAATTGGCACACTTCCAAACAGGGGTGCATATGTTGCATACAATGCATGGCGCTCCAACGATGCTCAGGAAAAAATACCAAAAATGGCACTGACTCTTTGAGTCGTGATTGACAAACTCACCTGCTGAGGAGCCTCTATTGCGCCTCACTGAGGCGGGAAGTTGGAAGGCTGGGGAAAGATGGGAGCGTTCATTTGTAAGGCAGGATTTGGAGAACAATTGGCACACTTCTAAACAGGGGTGCATATGTTGCATACAATGCATGGCGCTCCAACGATGCTCAGGAGAAAATACCAAAAATGGCACTGACTCTTTGAGTCGTGATTGACAAACTCACCTGCTGAGGAGCCTCTATTGCGCCTCACTGAGGCGGGAAGTTGGAAGGCTGGGGAAAGATGGGAGCGTTCATTTGTAAGGCAGGATTTGGAAAACAATTGGCACACTTCCAAACAGGGGTGCATATGTTGCATACAATGCATGGCGCTCCAACGATGCTCAGGAAAAAATACCAAAAATGGCACTGACTCTTTGAGTCGTGATTGACAAACTCACCTGCTGAGGAGCCTCTATTGCGCCTCACTGAGGCGGGAAGTTGGAAGGCTGGGGAAAGATGGGAGCGTTCATTTGTAAGGCAGGATTTGGAGAACAATTGGCACACTTCTAAACAGGGGTGCATATGTTGCATACAATGCATGGCGCTCCAACGATGCTCAGGAGAAAATACCAAAAATGGCACTGACTCTTTGAGTCGTGATTGACAAACTCACCTGCTGAGGAGCCTCTATTGCGCCTCACTGAGGCGGGAAGTTGGAAGGCTGGGGAAAGATGGGAGCGTTCATTTGTAAGGCAGGATTTGGAGAACAATTGGCACACTTCTAAACAGGGGTGCATATGTTGCATACATTGCATGGCGCTCCAACGATGCTCAGGAAAAAATACCAAAAATGGCACTGACTCTTTGAGTCATGATTGACAAACTCACCTGCTGAGGAGCCTCTGTTGCGCCTCACTGAGGCGGGAAGTTGGAAGGCTGGGGAAAGATGGGAGCGTTCATTTGTAAGGCAGGATTTGGAAACCAATTGGCACACTTCTATACAGGGGTGCATATGTTGCATACAATGCATGGCGCTCCAACGATGTTTCAGGAAAAATACCAAAAATGGCACTGACTCTTTGAGTCATGATTGACAAACTCACCTGCTGAGGAGCCTCTATTGCGCCTCACTGAGGCGGGAAGTTGGTAGGGTGGGGAAAGATGGGAGCATTCATTTGTAAGGCAGGATCTGGAAACCAATTGGCACACTTCTAAACAGGGGTGCATACAATGCATGGCGCTCCAACGATGTTTCAGGAAAAATACCAAAAATGGCACTGACTCTTTGAGTCATGATTGACAAACTCACCTGCTGAGGAGCACGTGCTGCGATGAATTGCATTGCTTTACTTCATGGCCTCCCCTAGCTGTACTAACGCTTGGGTGGTTGGATACATGGTTGGCTTGGGCAGAACCGGTGTTCGTGTCCAGTGCACATAAGGAGTTGTACGCCATGCATGATGACGCACGTTTACCACCTTCCACTGATGTTTCAGAAAAAAAATACCAAAAATGGCACTGACTCCTTCAAGTTATGAGTGACATATTTATCTGCTGAGGAGACCTATACGCACTTTACCCCATTGACTGACCCATGGGTCATCTTTGTCCCCTTCCTTCCTTGTCGCAGATCCCGCCAACAGCCACGGAGGGCCGCGAGCTGCCGCTGAACCAGGTGACGGAGATGTTGCGAGCGGAGGTGGCCATGGCGGGGTTCACGGAGGTGCTCACATGGTGGGTATGGGGTAGAAATAATGAAATTGACGAACTGTATGACCACTGGTGCGAGTGGGGGGCGCAGGGTTGGAAGAACCGAACTGGGTGGGGAAGTAGGGGGTCCGAGACTCCGAGTGCCAGGGGAAGCGGGCTAAATGGTTAGGACGCTTCTGTGAAGTGAAGAAGAGGAACAGGGGCGTGAGCATGCTTGCATGTAGGGTCGCTTGCTAAGACGGGGGCGGCGTCCTTTGCGGCTGCCTTTCTCCCCTTTTCTTAACCGTCCAACCTCCTTGTCACGTCCCTCAGGGCGCTGGTGTCCCGTGCGGAGAACTTCGACAACCTGCGGCGACCGGACGACGGAGCCACCGCAGTGGAGATTGGCAACCCAGCCACCGCAGAGTTCGAGGTGCGCGGAGGTCGCTGGTTCACTGCTAGGTCGCACACCTAGCATCGTATGGGAACTCCTCCCGCCTATAAGCTACAACCCTAGCCCAGCCCAGTCCAGCTCCTTACCTTCACGCGCGACCCTCTTCACCTCCGCCCCCTCCCAGGTATGCCGCAGCAGCCTGCTGAGCTCGGCGCTCAAGACGCTGGCCGCCAACAAGGAGAACGCGCTGCCCATCCGGCTGTTCGAGGTCAGCGACGTCATCCTGCTGGACCCCTCGCGATCGGTGAGCGGAGCGGGCGGGTGGGAGGAGGGAGGCAGGAGGGGAGGAGGCAGCGAGATGGAGGCACTGGAAGGGAACAGGCTGGAGGGGAGGGGGATCGACGAATGTAGGGCAGGTGTCCTTTCTAACGCATGGTAGTGGGTTGGGTTGGGAGTGGACCAGGAGCCTAGCTTGACGTGTGGAGCTTCACGGCCTTCCCTGTTTCATTCATAAGCGCAACCACGTTTCCTCGACATGTTCTATACTTGCCTCTGTTGTTGCCTGCGCTCATGCGTTCCTCTTCCTTTCCTGCTTGTGTCCCCTCTTATGCCCCCCTCCCCCCACCACCGCCACCCGCCCAGGTTGGTGCCCGCAACGAGCGGCGGCTGATCGCGGTGTACTGCGCCAAGGAGAGCGGCTTCGAGGTGGTGCACGGACTGCTCAACCGGGTCATGGAGGTGCTGGGGGTGCCGCACAAGGGTGAGCGAGGGGGGCGGGAGGTGCAGGAGGGAGGGAAGGAGAGGGTCAGGGAAGAGGGGGGAAAGGAGAGGGGCGCATATTGGTTGGGGTGCAGAGGATAGGGTGCCAAATGTACTTGGGATGTGGAGTCCAGGTGTCGTTTTATGGTAAGTGACACGACGGGTTTTTACAAGTAATTGCCGTTTATGATTTGGCGCCACGTAACGCTTCACCTGCCGCTGGCTTATCCCTCTACCCGTGTGCACAACCCCACTCGCACCCGGCCACAGATGAGGCCGCCTCCTCTCGCTCGCCGGTGTCGTACAGCTGGGCGCCCTCCTCCGACCCGGCGCTGTTCCCGGGTCGCCAGGCGGCGGTCTTTGCGGGGGAGCAGCAAGTGGGCGTGTTCGGCATCGTGCACCCAGAGGTGGGTTGTGGGTTGCGCGTTGTGGAGGTTGGGTAGTGGGGTTTGGTGGCTATGGTGGCCGTGAGGGGTGGCGGGTCAGGGGCCGTGTGTGGTTCCAGAGCCCAGCTTCCGTGCTGTGAAGGAAAGAGGAGTGTCCTGCCTTGCTTCTCTCTCGCTTTTCTCCATACTTTCCAACTGACCCAGATCGTACTGCCGCACAGGTACTCTCCGCCTTCGAGGTGCCGTACCCAGTATCTACGCTGGAGCTCAATTTGGAGCCATTCGTGTTTGACCAGTTCTATGAGCCGCTGCTGAAGCCGCTCAGCTCTTGATTTGGATGACATGACCATTTGTGACAGGGGGTATTGGCGCCAGCGTTTAGGGAAGGAAGCTGGGTCAGGGGCTTAAAAAGGGTGGGATGGCGGGATTGCAGCAGCTCTTTCACGCAAGAGTTAACGATGGGAATGTGGCTTGTAGCTTGGCAGGACTTGTGGCAAAGGATGCATCCTAGCTTGCCGCATCGCCGCAGGCTGTGGAATTAGGGTTGCGGGCTAGGGGTATAGATCAGGCAAGGAACTGCTTTCGACGAATGAACAGGGATAGGGGACAGAAGTGTTTGTGTGTGGCTTTAGGAGAGACGGTGCTTCGCTGGAAATCGCTGGAAGAGCGGAGGGCTTGGGCAACAGGAGGATGACGCTACAGGGAGAGAGGTGATTGTGCACACGGGTGTTAAGCTTAAACGCGCCGGGGTATGCGATGATGGGTCAGAAGGGACCTGTGCAAGCGATAAGCTTATGACAATTTACGCCTTTACTCATTCAAGCATATAGACTGGATGGTATGGTGCCCTGCTGCAACCGGGGAAACGGTCCCGTTTGCGTCAACGGGAACGGGTACGACAGCCCCTTGAAGCTTCACGAGCGCCCTTTACAGGGCTTGCCAAGTTCTGTGGTATTGGAAACTTGCGAAGATACCTGGTTTGCCTCTCCCTTAAGAGCCCATGTTGCAAGTCACATTTCCGAAGCGGCATTTCAGCAGGGATGGCACGTGCATATCGGTGCGTGCCGTACAATGTGCTTGCAGAGACAGTGTAACAAAGCACCTGTGATGCAACCTACGCTATGTAGTGTGTTGTTAATTGGCTTACAACAACATGGCACCGACGAAGTTGGGGCCAAACGGCCAATTCGCCAATACATGTACGTACGGCGAATACGAATCTAGTCCGTCAAGGTCCTCAAGGATTAGGCCAGGGAAAAACAAGGAGTAGTAGACTTCACTGCTCGTTAAGGCTTTGAATTGCGCAAGACTCACCAGTTAAGCCAACGAGTCAAACATGACTGGAAGGTGCTTATCCATACTGGAGCCTTGACACCAGCTTTGGCTTACTCGGTTGTACAGCAAGCAAGGATTATGACGGAACAGTAGAACTGGCTTCGGCAAGCTGCGCACAGCTAGGACGATGGACGAGCGCATAGTTGCGCTTGTCCTTACCTTCCTTGTAAGGGGATTATTAGTGTAAACGTAGTTAGCTTCGACAGTATGACGTCCAGAATTAGGCGTCATCGCTGGCCTGCTTGCATGTCCTACCTGTGTGGCCAACATGTCGCTGTTGCGCAAGCGACATTAAGCTTGGGAGTTTAATACTAATCTTGCTCTATTAACCGTGTATGCAGTTTGTGCTACCAGCATGCGCTACCCGCGAACGACCTTGGTGCGAGGGTGGGAGCGCACTATGCAGGACGGGAAGCGCAGAATCCCGTTACGGACATCGCACGCTGGTATCAGGAAATGGACTGGTGAGGCATCTCGGTATACTTGGAGTATCCTAGGCGAGCGGCTCTTGGATGATGAACGGTGTGGGCAAGCGGAGCCTGCCGGAAGGACGGCTGTCCGGGTTGGTCTCATAGATACGTACCCTGTTCCGCACAAGGCTGTTTGCGGCGGTAGCGACCGCAGATACTACCATGACGATGAAGGTTCACACCATGATACGGACTGTTAAGTTTGGCTGACCCATGGGCCGTTCGGCCAACACTGCAACGGATCGTTAGCCCGCATCTTCACGCAACTGTTCGGTTTACACATGCTGCTGCTCCTTTGCTGGTGCTGCTCGCTTTTGCCGCTGCTGGAGGCTTACTGTCTGTACTATAATTCCCTCGCCGCACCTGCCGCCACCCCGGCCTCCAGGTATACACGTTCGGTGGGCGCAAAAGCGCCATGCCAACCGATGTGACGCTGTCCAACACGCTGGAGGAGCTGGAGCCCCGCAGACGCACCCTGAGGACGCAGCTGCTGTCGGGATGGCAGGTGCGGTGGGGTTTGACGGCCCCCTCTCGGTCCCAACGTGCTGGGCTGCGGGAGCTGGGCGGTGTTGGTGGTGCGGAGGCTGCATCTGCATGGCACAACTTTTAAGCACCCTACCTTCTCATGGCGTCATGAGCTCATGACTGTGACCCTCCGTCCAATTCCACAGGCTGTACCGGGTCGCTCGGGTCACACCATGGTTGAGTGGTTGGACGGGGTGGGCCGGCGGCATCTGGTGGTCTTCGGTGGTACGGCACGACGTGACCTTGACAACGACTCGCCCGGCGGAGACGACGAGGACGCCGGCGCTTCTTCATCATCAGCTGGGTCGGAATTGCTGTCGGACGTCGCGTCCATCAACCTGCAGACCTTCACTTGGTCGCTGCACAACAACACAGGTGGGCGGCGCGGTGAAGGAACGGGAAGTGGACACGGGCGACATACCGCAATACCGGTCCAAAATGGCGGCTGCAACCGGGGGACGTACATTTTAAGGTCCCAGAATTTCTTGGCTTGCTGCAGTCCTAAGGGCACGGATGATGGAAGGATCGTTTTCTGGCAAGGTAACGCTGTTCGAAGACCCTAACCGGATGGATTGCCCGTCCCGTCCCGTCCATGCAGGCGTGGGCCCAAGTGGTCGCAAGCATGCCTCAGGAACGGTTTGGCACGACAATGTCATGCTCGTGTACGGCGGAATAACCGCAGATGGTACGACGAGCAACGAGCTATGGGCGTACAACTTGACGACACAAAGGTCGGTGGGACCCTAACTTGTGCCGGAGGCATGGAATGCCTGGGGAAGGTGTGGCACGGGTGGGCATTAGGTGCCAAGCTAGGCTGTCTCGTAGGAGGAAGGCGGATGGAAGGGTCTAAGGAGCGAACAACCCTACACGGAGCCATCACCCACTCGGCTCACTGCTAACGGGATGCTGCCTTCTCACGCATCGACAGGTGGATCGGCCAAGTGTCATCTGACTCCTCGCTGGGCGGCTCGCCTCCCGCACTGCAGTCCGTAGCTCTGGCGGTTGCAGGCGACTTCCTCCTGTTGTACGGCGGTTATAGTACGGATGAGCTGTACGTCCCGACGCCGTCACCACCCTCGCCGCCGCCGGGTATGCCAGTACTGCCCGGTGGTGGCTCCATCCCGGCTGCCGGGCCGGTTGCTTTCCCAGCTAATGGGACAAGCAGCGGCGGCGCAAGCAACAGCAGTAGTAGTACCGCTGGAGCGCCGCCCCCTGGCGCCGGTAGCGGCTTAGCTAACAGCACCGTTGGATCACCGCCCACAGGTGACACCAGCAGCCAAACAAACGGCGCTGCTAACGGAACGCCCCCTGGAGCTTCTGGCAGCAGCACAACTCAGGGTGCACCTCCAAGCAGCGCCCAGCCTCTCAGCTTTGCCCAACCTCCTATTGTCGCGAAGCCTCCCAGCAACGCTCAACCTCCTAGCAGCGCCCAACCTCCCAGCAACGCCCCACCTACCACCAACACCCGACCACCCCCCAGCAACACCCAACCCCCGAGCAACGCTCAACCTCCTAGCAGCGCCCAACCTCCCAGCAACGCTCCACCTACCACCAACACCCCACCCCCCAGCAACACCCAACCCCCGAGCAACGCTCAACCTCCTAGCAGCGCCCAACCTCCCAGCAACGCTCCACCTACCACCAACACCCCACCCCCCAGCAACACCCAACCCCCGAGCAACGCTCAACCTCCTAGCAGCGCCCAACCTCCCAGCAACGCCCCACCTACCACCAACACCCGACCTCCCACCAACACCCCACCTACCACCAACACCCCACCCCCCAGCAACGCTCAACCTCCTAGCAACGCCCAACCTCCCAGCAACGCCCCACCTACCACCAACACCCCACCCCCCAGCAACACCCAACCCCCGAGCAACGCTCAACCTCCTAGCAGCGCCCAACCTCCCAGCAACGCTCCACCTCCCACCAACACCCAACCCCCGAGCAACGCTCAACCTCCTAGCAACGCCCAACCTCCCAGCAACGCTCCACCTCCCAGCAACGCTCAACCTCCTAGCAGCGCCCAACCTCCCGCCAACGCTCCACCTACCACCAACACCCAACCGCCCGCTAAGGCCCCACCTCCCAGCAACACCCAACCTCCTAGCAGCGTCCAACCTCCCATTAATGCCAAGCCATCTGGCAACGTCCCGCCTCCTCCCAGCAACGCCCAACCCCCGGGACCCCAGCAGCAGGGTGGTGTCGCATCGGGTCGCAGGCGGCTCTTCCTGCAGAGCGGCATGCCGGCAGCTCAGCCCGTGCGCCCGCCTGCTCCTGCACCCCCGCCACCAGGGGCTCCGAGCCCTCCGCCGTCACCGCCGCTGCCGCCGCCATCACCGCCGTCACCACCTCCGCCTCCCTTGCCGCCGTCACCTGCACCGTCACCGCCCTCACCGCTTGTCCTGTGTAAGGCCAACGTGTCATGTGTGACTAATACCACCCAGTCCCAGCAGGGTTGCATTCAGTTCCCTAGGATACGCTTTGTCGTTCCCAAAAATCACCAAGCTGGAATAGGAGCGCACTTTGACTGTGTAATCATCCTATGCAGTCCGTCCTTGCGGTATTTCCTCTGGAATAGCCTTGGGATAGCTATGAATAGCCCTCACATACTAAATGTTGCCTGCCAGTTGTCGCTTTCAGCCCCCTTTTCCTTCACCGAAATCCCTCCCCTTGCTTGGTCCCATCTGCAGCCCGATCCTTCTTGCTGTCCAAGGCTCTGTGGGTGGCAGACCTGCGAGCCTTCCCGACCGCCGTCCCATGGGTCAGGGCACAGCTGCAGGTCCTGTCCTCCTCCACCTCCTCCTCAGCTCCCAGCAGCAGCAGCTCCTCCTCCTCACAGTCGCAGTCCGGGGTGCACATGGGTGGCTTTGACACGTTTGTCTCGACGACGGAACAGGATGACGCATTGGTTATCTACGCGGCTGGTGGCGTGAAAAAGTGGGTCTCTATGTCCTGCAATAGTAGAAGCTGCTTACTGAAAACAATTTGAGTGGAGACCCTCCTTCCCTTGCTGCTACTGTCTTATGCGATGGCACTGTATGCCAGCTACCGGTGTGTCAATCTTCACTGCCCTTGCATCCCTTGCCGCCGCATGCTTTCCTCCGCAGGTCCGGTGTAGAGTCGCAGTCCGCATGGCGCCAGTGGTACGCCCGCTACTCAGTCTCAAACATCACACAGGCGCTGAATGGCCTGGCCTCCGCCATCACTGCTGCCCGCACAGCAAACGCATCAACCACCACCTCACAAACACCAAGCTTAGAAACCACGAGCACCAACACTAGCGCTACCGGTTCCGCTTCCAACATTAGCGTGAACCTTCAGCTTAGGCGTAACCGGCTCTTCATACACCATGACCTCCTTACAGCGGCGTCTGCAGCTGACCCATGGGTCAATGCCGACGGCTCGGCTGCTGATGTTGCATCTTCTGGGGCCAATGTGTCGTCGCTGCCTTCAGACCTTGGTCCGGCGTTCGTACGGTCTCAGACGTGGGCTCCTCTGCAGGGGGGTCTCACGTTACTTCATGGGGGCTATTATAATCAAGACGGCAGTTTGCCTTTAGTGGTAGGTCTTCGTGGGTGGTGCTGATACAGCTGAGGGGGAAGTCGGGAACCCTAAGGAAAGATGAGCGCATAGCCGGTTGTCACTGTAGTGGTTATACCATACTCCAGCCCCGTCCTCCACCTTTTCCAAGGCGACGACGGCTTATTCCCCCACCGGCTCATTCCTCCGCTACCATGCATTCGGTTCCCCTACATCCCCTTCTCTCATCTTGACTCTTAAGAACTCCTGTCCTGCGGTCCCTGTCCTCTCCTCCTCAGGCCACCAGCCGGCGCCTGCAGCTGATCTGGTCCTCAGGCGGCTCTCAAGTTCTTGACAATGCCACCCTCAAGCACTCGTACTTCGAAACCGCCTCATCGTTTGTTGTGATGCGCTCGATGCATGCCCTGACGCTCCAGTCCGACTCGGCTAGCAGCAGCAATGACGACAGCATACCTTCAACTGGGCTGTTCTTCTTTGGAAAGCACGACACTTCTTCAGGTAATGCGGGCCCTGGCTACAGGGGAACATGATTACGGAGACAGATGTTCCGAACTGTGGAGTTGACTAAGACAGGCGGCAGGCGGTGTAGCCGGATGTGTTCTGTACGCTGAGCTACCCATCACGTGATACCGCAAACCACGGTTATCTCTACTTGCGATAGGTTGCCGAGCCTTACCTTCCGTCTCCCAACCCCTAACTGCCGCAGTGGATCAACCCGTCCTGACGGAAGCCGCCATATCCAATGTCAACGCGTACACCGTGACCCTCTGCTCCACCGACTTGAGCTACGACTGCAAAACCATGCCCGCGCGGGCGGGCGTGGAATACATCAAGCGTGATGCCTACGCGTCTGCGCCCCTGCTGGCGTCCTACAGTGGAAACTTCTACGGCAAGTCTTCCGACGAACAGTTTACCGTGCATGCACCGTTGGTGCTTGTGTACGGAGGTATAAATGTCGCCGGCGGGCTGCCTCCCACGCGCAGTACAGGTGAGTGGTAAACGGTAAGGGGCAGCTCCGACGGGTACAGCACACACATGTCAGCACACACATGTATGTTCCTACTCGCGGCCAGTTTTCTTCACACACATGTCAGCAGGCCCCATACGTATAACGTCCACCGATGCCGCCCTCAAGCCTAAAGCCTAGGCGTCGGAAACTCACACACCTATGCTAGCAACCTGCTTCATGCGCCTCACACGCCTAAAACGTGCCCGCAACACTCGAACATGCAGAAACAAGCAGCAGCGACTCCTCGTCTCAGCTCAAAACCGCCCTCATGGCATGCGACACCCGCGGCCTCATCTCAGCCTCCGACTGGGCTACCTACGCCTCTTGCGCTGTGAGCCGCATGTCCTCGTCGTCCTCGCCCTCGTCATCCACTTCTTCTAGCAGTTCCAAAAACATGCTGGGACGCCGCCGCCGTCTCAACCACAACCGTGTGCTCCACGGCGACCCCGAGCCCCGGTTTTGGCAGGAACAGCGGCACGAACCGGGCCAGCAGCACTCAGCTTGCAGCGCTGGGGAGCATCGTAATGGCTGCGATAACAGGAGCAGAGGGGACGAGCGGGGCGAGTTATACCATCCTTACTACATGGACGGCGCTTTGGGCGACTTGCCGGTATTACAGCAGCCCGGCGGTTGGAGCAGCAGCAGGAGGCGGCTGTCGACCGCCAGTGGGGCCGACGCGGTGACGCGGACGTTCTATGACACCGCGGTGGTGCTGGTGATGCAGGAGGCTAGCGCCGCGGAGCCGCTGACAGTGACAGCGAGTGGTAGGTTGGGCTGGGTCATGGAGAAGAGGGGGGGAAGGGTCATAATGAGGGCTGGGGAACGCATTGCAGCATTGGAAGGGCATGCACTATGTATGGCATGGTGTCTGGACGAACATACCTTGGCGATTCAGCGCTTCTCAGCTATGTCCTAAAGCAAGCGTTGGGCATTCTGCCTACACTCCGCCGCGTAGTTGTTCAAGCTCCCTCCACCTACTCTGACCTTCTGACCGTCTCCCCCCTTCCCTCCCCCCTTCCTCCCTCGACGACCTTGTCAATCCGACGTCAATACCTACAACACCCGCAACAGCTGTTGGGAACAGCACAAGCATCCTTTTCGACAAAGTGTACAACCTGCAGGGCGGCACCTCCCATTCGCCTGGCCCACGGGTCGGCGCCTCCATGGCGGGCCTCACCAGCCGCTCCGCACTGCTGTTTGGAGGCGCCACCTTCAACAAGAGTGCCGCCCTGGCAGATGGCCTGGTCTCCCTAGGTACGCAGGGGCTACCAAAGAGACCAGAAGCCTAAACAACTTTCAACACCTACTGACGCGAGCTTGTCACTTGATAGCAACGGGACCATGTGTCGTGTTTTCGTGTAGCATTGCAGTGGAGGTGTAGCTAAGTCGTATCTTGGCTACATCAAAGCGTATCCGCACGTTGTTCTACCTTTCGTTTCTGCTTATCCCGCGCGCTGCGTTGCTTAAACCCTGCTCATAAACACCCTTAAACCCTTGCACAAACCCTGCTCCGCCCTTACCACAGATGAGCTCGTGCTCTCTCGCGATGTGCACTACCTGCGATACTACGTGGGCGGTGAGACAGTCGACTCCTCCCCTACCTACGGCATGTCAGCCTGCCCTTCCTCAAACAGCAGCAGCAGCAGTAGCACCTGCGTCCCAGCGACACTCTTCCCCTGGACTCCGCCGGTCCCTTCACCGCCCTCAGAGGCTCCGGTGCTGCAGCCCAGCATCTCTGATCTGCCCACAACCGCTGCCAACTTTACCTGCAGCGCCGGTCGGACGGTCCGTGTGGAGGTGGTAGCCAGTCTTGACCCAGCCGCCCAGGCGGCAGCAGGCTTCCGTATCGCCACGTGGGATGGGGAGGTGCTGATGGAGGTGCAGGGGCTGGCATCCACTTCCACAGGTAAGGCGGCGGTTGGATGTGTCTGGCGGCGGTTGACGGGTTAAGAGGTGTGCTTAGAGGTGCGTGTGTGGGAATGAGGTTATACTTCGTCCGACTCGTGATAAGCTTAGCAGCGGCCTCCCTGCTAGGGACTTTCATAACGTGTTCCTTACTACGTTTGCAGGTGGCGTTTCCAGCAGGGTGACGTCGTACGGCAACGTGGTTCTGCCCACGGGTCTCCTGCAGGTACAGCCTGGGGCGGGTGGTGTGTGTAAAAAAATAACTGGCCGCGAGGCGAAACGTACTGTGTAGTGCGGAACCTGATAAATCGTTTGCCAGAACAGGTTGACGCGGGAGCTTCGATAGTTATCTGGTAGATCAATAGGTCCCGTGTTTCAGGATTTTCGACAGGCATGGTAGTAAGCCATTCTTGTACCACCTATCCCCAGGAACACGAACGAATGCACACTGCTATCCTTCCTTGTCGTGTTGCAGATATGGCTCGTTTCGTCAGATGGCTTCGGCTGGACGCGTGACGCGGATGTCACAGGTCCTGCTGCCGGCTGCTGTAATGCAACTGCGGCCACAGCAGCGGTTGCAGCGGGCATGAGTCAGGCAGCCGCATGGGCGTCGATGACGTCCTGTTGTCCGCAGCTGCGGCTCTTCTCGACGTCCTGCAGGAGCTATGTGCAGGGCTTTTCAACGGGCGAGGCTATGTTTGGTAGGTGGTGGGTGGTAGGTGGAGGCACACTGTGCTCGTCTTAGCGTGGTTAGCCTGCTGCCACCCGTCGCCATCCGCGGCTTTGGATACTGTGCAAACGAACGTACGGGCGCGTCCCTTGAGCATGGGAGCTGCCCGGATCGTGCATTCCTTTGGCTATTCTTCGTAGCACTCCTCATGTCGTTCAGGCTCCAGCTAGAGCCTATTTGGATATTGATCAGCTCGTTCTATTGTCCCAGAACTCGACCAGTCTTACCCAACCACCACCTGTGCCCCTTGCTTGCCCAACTTTACCCAGACGTCGGTATGGACAACCGTCACAATGCGTCGTTTTACCAGTTCCGGCAACTGTACGGCCTTGTCGTACAACCCACGTCAGCCGTACTGCCTTCCGGTGACACTGCGTCGTACATCCAGTACCCGCTGGAGCAGCGGGGCAGCTACCTGCACACGTTTGAGCTCCAACCACTGGCAAGCTCATCGCTGCCGCCGGCACGCTATAGGTACGTCTGGTGTCAGCGTGTGACGGTTAGTAACGTATAAGGTTCATGCATTGCTCGTTCACTACTGCTGGTGGTGAATACCTTGTATTGTACTAACTGCGTGCTTGCTGAGCCAAGTACGGCCTATGCATATACGTTACGAAATCCTAGCGCTGCAACTACGTACGGCATGTGCTCCATGGAACCTCATGGACGCAGGCACGCCTCGGTCTTTGTGAACACCTCCGCCGCGTATGAGGTATACGGCGCCGCCGGTATGCTCGTCGTGTACGGCGGAAGTTCTTCTTACAGCGTTGCAAACCCTGCGTCACGTCTGTCGGACCTTTGGGTCTTCTGCCTGTGCAACCACACATGGGTAAAGTTGGAGCCTGAAGGGGATGCCCCGCCCGCGCTCATAGACCATGCAATGGCTGCGGTAGATTCGCAGGTAGGGCCAGGCTGTTGCGTGTTGCAGTCTGTACGCTTTCAGACCGGGTTTATAGGCCAATGGTGACTCGTGTCCGCCTAGGTGAAGCGCACGTACTATTGGAATTTGGTCTCAGCCTCTGCCACACGTCCCTTTTGGAATGGCTCGCGTGCGCCCTCACACCGCACTACCATCCTTACCGGTAACACCCGACAGGTGTTTGTGGGCGGTGGCGAGTACTTCAACCCAGCCAGCGGCACCTTCCAGCAGGACAGCACCGTGTACCAGCTGGACTTCGGACTGCCCATCCTCATGTGGCGCAAGTGAGGAGGGGCGGTTGGATGGCAGGAGGGCGTAGGGCAGGGATAGGCTAGCAGGACTATTGGGAGCTCAAGCAGGGCGATGCTGCCAGGCAATGCGCGTTTCTTTGCAGCTAAGACCAGTATTTAGTGGTTTGGGGTCTGACTCATGGGTCATGCTAACGACTGCGTACATGTATGACAGCGATTTGATCCAACTGTATGTGCTAAACGCTTCCGGAATGACTGCAGGCTTGCAGGCGGCTCTAACATCTTCAACACAAGCACACCCACCACGGGTGCCTACTCGCTCGCCTATGTACCCTCCTTGAGCCAGCTCGCCTTCTCCACGCCCACGGTATGCAAGGCTTTTGGCACTAGGTTTCCGGGCCTCAGGCCCTCGGCTGCTTATTTACTTCCATAGCATGCCTAAGCTACACCACAGTGACGACCACAAGTCGTCACTGTCCAATGCATCCCTGTTCATAACTCATGCAGGGCTGGCCCTAACGCGCATGTGTGCCCGTGTCCTACCCGCTGCAGGACCTTCTGATGGTTCCTGTGACCCTCAGGAGCTCCCTGGGCGTCTCCGGCACCAATGCCTCAAACGGCAGTGGCGGCAACTCTTCGACTTCTTCAGGCATTTTGCTGGACAGCCGTACGCTGACGTCACTGCTAACGACCCTGTACGACGGCGATACAGTACTGCTCACGGCTGTGTCTGACATACAGATTGAACTAGGGCAGCCGCTGCTGATTAACGCTGCCGTATTCATGCAGGCAAGTTGTGGGCATGCGTCGTTTCCATGTCATCATATGTTTCTACTCTTGTGGGTTGCAGGTGCTTCGCATATTATGTAGCAAAAAATTTAACCTTTTGTCTGGTGACGAATGTAAGACGTGTGCTGCATGGCACCCTTCCCTTCCATCGCACGCAGGGCCGCTACTCCCAGGCCTCCGAGCTCAGCACGCGTTTGGGCCGCCGGCAACTCCTTCAGGGACTGGGCCACCTTGGTCCCATGCTTGACGGACCCGACTTGGGTGTGGACGCAGACGTTGACTCCGACTCCCAGCAGCGCAATCTCCCCTATGCTGGGCTCCATGAAGCTCCTGCTGCGTCTGGGGCATCCTTCAGAGACCGCCACAGCCGCCAGCAGGCTGCTGCTGCTGTTTTCCGTTTAACAGCCAACGAACGTGACGGCAGCTTCCGGCTCGTCCGCCAAGCCACCCACGACTACAGCCGCGCTGCACTGCAACCTGCCCCAAGCGGGCGTTCCCATCCCCAGCCTCACACGCAACAGAGCGGCAGCAATGGAGGTAGTCGACGGCTGTTTGAGGACGCATCACCACAGCCGCCACAGCCCCAGCCACCGCAACCGCCATCACCGCCATCTCCACCAGTGCCGGCGGACGACGTGAACAGCCTTGCCTCGGCTGCGCTGCTTGAGGAGTACCTGGCAGGGGCGGCGCTGACCGTGATAGACTGCGCAGGAGCTGAAAGGGCGCTGACTGTCCAGTGAGTAGGGAGACGGGTGTGCGATTTGTGGCTTGAGTTCAATGGGCGTTGCCGTTGCTGTTTAATGGCTATGTCCGATGCCGCCGTCTTTGCGCCCCGCCTTAAACCTCTCGTACGCCCCGTCTTTATCCCTGTCATGGGGGCCTTGTGCCCCACCAAACACGCGCTTCCTTCCCCTTCGGCCCATCCAGCTCGGGCGGCGCGACCCTGCAGAACCTGTTGTTCCGCGGATGCACCGACACTGCGGTGCTGGTCGACAGTGCCTCCTCGTCTGCTGTACGTTTACTCAACTGCGTCTTCTACAATAACACGGGTGCGACTGAACTCCCAGTGCACTGCTTGACTGGCCCTGTCGAGTCTGTCGGCATCGTAACGAAATCCTAAAGCTGTGCCAAACTCTAACACAACCCCAACAGTAACTGGTAACATGGACCATACCCGCTCTCCCATCCGCATGCACACTCCTTACCAGGCACATCCGGTGGCGCGCTGCGTGTGGCCTCGGGCTCCTCGGTCGTGCTGCAGGACTGCTTGTTCCTGGACAATGACGCGACGTACGGGGGCGCCGTGTATGTGGAGGCTGGGGGCAGCCTCAGCAGCGTGCAGCGAGTAACATTCCTGCGTAACGGCAACGGGTGAGCTGCTTCACTGGGATGGAGGGAAGGGAGCGTTGAAGGAGGGAGGAGGGTCCAGCTGTCTGGACATTGCATGCGCGCAGAGAAATGCGCATGCTAGGGATGCTCCTTCTGTGCGTGTATACGACAGGGGCTGCTTTACGGGCTCGTACGTCTGCCGTGCTAAGGAGCAACCAGCCCTAAACTTACATTTGTTTAATGCTCCGCAGTCCACGTAACGAAGCTGGTGGTGCTATGTACGGCGCCTCTGGCAGCTGCATCCTCTCTGTTACCGACTGTGCCTTTGACAGCAACGGCGATGCAACTGCTACTGCCACCGGCGGTGCCGTACTGCTCGAGCTGCCGTCTTGCAGCGGCGTCAGCTTCTCTCGTTGCTCCTTTGCACGCAACATGGCGGCCACGGGTGGTGCAGTGGCAGTAAGCGGGTTTGATTCCACCGCGGCGTTAAGTCTGGCGGAGTGCAATTTCACCTCGAACAATGTAAGAAGAAGAAGATGGGGCATTATTGACACCGGGGAAGGGTGCTAATCCCAAGCTTTATATTCCCCCTGTGCTTTCGGTTTACTCCCGAGTAAACCTGGCACCCTTCCTCCGGGATTCATGCACCCGGATTCTCCTGAGCACATTTGGGCTAATTACACCCCTCTTCCCTCCGCACAGGCTTCTTCTCAGGGCGGTGCATTGAGCCTACAGGTGGCGTACGGCTCCGTGCAGCTAACCAGCTGCCGCTTCGAAACCAACACGGCTCTGCGTCGCGGAGGCGCCGTACTGAGCAGCAGCGCCCGCAACATAAGTGCAAGCCAGTGCACCTTTTCAGGCAACAAGGCGTCTTTGGGCGCTGGAGGAGCATGGTAAGGCGCGTGGTAGGGGTCGTCACGCCATGTTTTGATGTTGCGGGTGTTTGTGGGATTAAGGACGCTCGCTGTGAAGGATACATCGAGTGGGCCCCGTGGCATATAGTCAGTAGTGTGAACAGTTGCTGCGCTGGACCAGTTAATGGGGTATGGGGTATGGGACGGAGCCAAGCCTTGGTCCGAAGTCCCCTTGTGTCTTGCCATGTCTCTTTTGCTGCCTCGTCATGCCATCCTGGTACTTTTTTAATTCCATTCCACTCTTCAGGTGTGCTGAGAAGGAAGGCACTCTGGACATCAAGAGCTGCAGCCTGTACGACAACACTGCCCTGTACGGCGGCGCCATGAGCCTCAACCGCGACCTGCATCTGGTGCTGACCGACTCCGACTTGCACGACAACGCTGCTAGCTATGCGGGAGCGCTTGAGGCGCAGGAGTGCACGCTTTTGGAGGTTGTCCGTTGCAGGTGAGCTCAAAGTAGCTTGACAGTTAGGTTATGCTGCGGCTGACCAGCATACAGTATGGGCCCATTCTCCCAGCACGAGCATGTGCGCAAAGGAGCTCCTTTCCCCTATCTCCGCTCCAGAAACTTCAGCCGGTTTCATTAGCCTAAACGACTTTTCTTTTCCCGGTTCGATCAAACCGTGTCACAGCTTCACAAACAACAAGGCGAACTCCGCTGGCGCAGTGTCCTTCAGCCAGGCTGAGAAGGGCGCCCGCATCACCAACTGCAACTTCACGTCTAATGCCGCCGCGACTCAAACCTCGTCCAGCGATCCATGCGGGCGATACGGCAGCGGCGGAGGCGGAGCGGTCTGCCTCGATGTGGCCGGTGATGTCGTCATTTCCGGCGGCACTTTCAGCAACAACACAGCGACCAACGGAGGGGCGTTATGGGCCGCCCAGAAATGCAGTCCGTCCTCAGATGACGCGTGCGGGTACGTGTGGTTGTACGGCACAAACATGTACGGTAACCGTGCAGTTGATGGCGGCGGCGGTGCCGTATTCGTGTATGAAGCAGAAGACTTACTCGTGTCTTGTGATACTGATGACACTTCTGGAGCGTACAACACTACCAGCTTCCTCAAAGCAGCTATAACTCCATCATCGCTGTCATCACCGCAGCCGTCGTTTTCAACGTCCGGAAGGGAAAGTGTTTGTAATGGCAGCTGGTACGGTAATACAGCGCTGTACGGCGACATCATAGCATCTACGGCGGCTTCAATGCGGATTCTGGTGCCCCAGAACGGTTTCCTGCAGCAGTACCGTTCAAACGACCAACTAATTGTGACGGTTGTGGTTTTGGATGCCTTTGAGCAAAGCATCTCAGGTATGGTGCTGGGCCGCCTCTGGGTTGCTGGGCTTGTTGCCTGTGTCGTGGATCTATGGCGGAATGCTGGTGAAGATTTGAATGCAGCGCTCGTAAGCTTGCAAATATTCCTAACGACCCATGGGTCACTCGTTGTGGTGAAACAGGTGGTTCTCCTGAGGCATCCACCACTTTCAACGCCAAGGCCGTCTCTACACAGCCGGTTGGAGTGCTTACACAGAGTGCAACAAGCGGAGTTGCCAACTTCTCGTCTTTGCGTGTGCGAGAGCGGCCTGGCAACTACACATTCAATCTATGTACGTTCGTACGTGTGCTGAGGGGACTTGCTTGGGGGCTAAAGCAGCTGCCCATGCATGTTTCCATGTAGTGGTTAGCTTGGAATTGGTTTAGGTGCCAGGCCGCATTGCTTGCTGCGTCTATAGCCACCCCTGCCTACTCTCCACTGCCACTTCGGAACCTGCTTCTTCAGTTTCTGACCCTTGTGCATTCTGTAACCCTGCGCGCAGCTGCCTACGGCACGTACCACAGCCTCTCCCATGCGGTCGTCTCTGTGGAGGTGCGGCTGTGTCTGCTGGGGGAGGTGACCAACGCCGCGGGCGACCAGTGCAGCCCCTGCGCGGAGGGGAGCTTTAGCTTCAACCCGGACAATACCACATGCGACAGGTGCGGGGCGGAAATGGTGTAGAGGGAAGGAGACCCGGCTGGCACATGGACATGCAGGAAAGGGCATAAAGCGATGCGGTCCGGGTAGTGTGCTCGGCTGATGAACCCAGTACAGGGAATGAACTGCCACGGCAGTCGTATACAGCAAGATGTCGCAGGTTCCTCATGAGCTGAGACGTGGGTTGCCGGTTCTCTTGGCCGTGCAGTTGCCCCGAGCACGCGTCTTGTGCGCCGAACGGTACATCAGGGTACGTGCTGCTTCCGGAGGACGGCTACTGGCGAAGTGGGCCGTACAGCCCGCAGGTATGTACGGCCATCTCCCCAGCGCGCACGTGCATTGCCGTACTGCCGTGCGTGTAAGCATTGCGCTGCTAACAGGCGCAGGTTGTGAAGACTTGTATTTAGGCTCTGCCCGGCGACGCTCATCGTGTATGTTCGTTTTACCGCTGCACGAAATGCGCGTTACGCGTTGCTGACATACCTGATTGCATGCAGGTCATCGAGTGTCCCAACTCGCGCGCTTGCAGCTATGACGGTCTCAGCCGCCTCTCGTCGGTTCCATTCATCGAGGCCAGCCGGCAGGTGCGTTAGCCCAGAGAGTCTTCTTGCGTGCACCCGGTGTGGCACGGCCATAAGGGCCCCCGTGTGGGCCCTACCTGGTGAACCGGTGTGCACTGGTGACCGCACCGTCTCTCCATGTCGGTCCATATCGATTAAAGGATTGGAGGCAAGCTGCTCTAATAATGTATGCTGCCTTATCTTAAGTCAGTCTCTTCTTTCCCCTGGGTGCGGAGCCATGTCCCCTTTTAGCAGCATGCCTTCCTGCTCTACGCCCTACGCTACAGGATGCAATGCTAGCGGCCATTCTGGACATCAATGGGGCCGGCGAGCGCAGCCCCTTCCGCCGCAACGGCTCCCGGGCGGCAGTGGAGCTCTTCCAGGGGCTGCAATGCAGCGCCGGCTACTGGGGTAAGCATAAGGGCCGCAGGATGGGGTGTAAGGTCGGGGCTTGCCGGTAAATCTTGATGATGAAGGCCCCTGCCCTTCACTGCAAGCCTCGCATTGTTTCCAGGTGTTCACCAAAACCTGTTGCACTTTATGGTTGCACAATGTACCGGTACCTTCATTCTGTGCTGTCTTCTAACCCGCAGGCAACGTGTGCGGCGGCTGCATGCCCGGCTACGGCCGCACCGGGGAGGCCACCTGCTCTCGCTGCCCCGCTAGGTAACCCTGAAACTCGCCTTCAGCTCCGCGGAATACAGCGCGGTCCCGCTTGCAGATCCGCGTACTTAGATGGCAAGGCGGCTACTGCTGTTGCCTGCCTGCTGCGTCCTCTGCTACCGGTATCCCTTGCCTGACACTTGCTGAGCTGGCTGATCTATATGCGGGCACACGCATGCGTTTGTATGGAAGGGACCCCTGTGACTGGGAAGCGCGTGTGGTACCGGTTTCTTTCCTAAACGGTCGTCCTGCCTGCTGGTGCACTCTTGTAGGTGGGTCAACACGATGTACTACGTGTTGGTGTCCCTGATCAATGTCATTGTCATCGCAATCACCATTCGAGCACAGCTGGTGCGTAGCGGCGCCAAGAAGGCGAAGCGGCAGCTGCAGCAGCAGCAGCTGGACCAAAGGAGACGTGGATCGAAGAGTGCCGCAGACCGCAGTGGCACCGGCGAGGGTGTAGCTGCAGTGCAGGAGGATGCGGAACGCCCGCCCCCACCTCCACCTCCGCCGCCTCCACGCTCGCCTCTATCTCTCCTTGGGGGTCGCGGCAACGGTGCACTGAGACCAGGCGAAGACGGGAAGATCGCTGCAGCCGGCGATCTCAAAGAAAACGGCAACAAGACGGCCGATGGAGCTGGAAACGACAGCTCCAAGAAAAACAAGAAGGTCGATTTGATGACAGAGGAGGAACTTATGTCAGGGACGCACTCTATCGTACTTAAGGTACGACAGCACGTCTTCACGTCTTGCAACGAGAGTGCGGCGGACGGCACTCCCTGCCTTTGGAACTTCGTTCACTGCTCTCACCGGTTTGTGCTGTTTTTCCCGCTGGCATGGTGGTTACGGCTGCCAAGCGATGCCCATCCCAAAGAACAGCCACCTATGGCACCTACATCTGTTGCCGTACATGCTCTCCGCCGTACTGCGACCGGGCCTATCTCGTACTGTACTGCAGATCCTGGTGACGTACCTCCAAGTCGCCTCCATCGTAAAGGATGTGGCGGTGGTCTGGCCGTCCCCCGTGCAGTGGCTGCTAAACATTGGCAGGGAGGTGCGTTGCAAAGATACGGTGGTAAACTGCCGACTTGTGCTATAGCAGTTGCCGAGGCGTGCATGCGTATAACGACTTGAATATGCAAGCCAGTAAACGCGATGGAATGGACCTTAACCGCTCGGATCTGCATCAGATCTTGGGATAGTGATCCACCATCCTCTTTCTAAACCTCCTCTCCCTCCAATTACCGGTACTTTTATACTTCTTGGGCCCCCCGCATCGCAGATCAGCAACGGTGTTGCCACCATGGTCTCCCTGGACTGCTCCCTGCCCTCGGGCGGCCCTCCCAAGAGCATCTCCCGCGTCGTCATCACCGTCACTGCACCTTTCATTCTTATGACTCTGTCCCTGCCGGTAAGCGCGCCGTCTCCCTCTTCACAAACCAGTATGTAGCCTAGCGTCACGTGAAAGTGCAACTCCCAGCCACGTTTTCCTGTACTCCCCATGCGGCCATGCTCCTTGGGGCTGTTCGGATGCAGCATAGAGAACACCTTCCCGTTTAGCGTGAGCATCAGCGCTATCAACGTCTTTCCCGCATGCCCCCGTGCTGCCACAGGTCTGGGCGCTCATCGCTGCTGCAGTGGCAGCCCGGCGCCGGCGGCAGGGCCAGCCCCCCCTGGAGCTGCGGAACTACCTGGGAACCCGCCTCATCATCACCGCCATCACCATCGTCTTCTTCACCTACCCCACCGTCACCAGTGCGCTCCTGGGCATCTTCGCCTGCCCGCTGGTAGGACAGGGTGGAGGGAGTAGGCTGTTGGGCGGCGGGTGTGGGGTGGTAGGTGTAGGGTGGTAGGGTAGCGGGTGCAGGGTGGTGGGTGTAGGGTGGTAGGGTAGCGGGTGCAGGGTGGTGGGTGTAGGGTGGTAGGGTAGCGGGTGCAGGGTGGTGGGTGTAGGGTGGTAGGGTAGCGGGTGCAGGGTGGTGGGTGTAGGGTGGTAGGGTAGCGGGTGTAGGGTGGTGGGTGTGGGGTGGTAGGGTAGCGGGTGTAGGGTGGTGGGTGTGGGGTGGTAGGGTAGTGGGTGTAGGGTGGGGGGGGTTTCAGAAACATACTCACCCTGCAATCCATGGCATGTTTACGGGGGTGGCGAAGGCAGGTGTTCCCCTTAAGGGGTGGAGGTGTTGGGTAGGGAACCGAAGGAGGAGCCTTCTGTTAGGTCGGGGCCCGGAGCAGGGGGGTCTGGAGCAACGTTACTGATCCATGGACAGCGGGGGCTTTCAGCGTCCGTGGACGCAATCTCAGTGCACAATCTCGGCAGTTCTGAAAAGCAAAACTACGTAAAACTTTGTTTCTCTCCGGCCTTGAATTTTTTCCCTTTACGCAACCGTGCGATCGCAGCTTGACAGCAAGCGATCCGGTGGCGCACCCTATGTGGACCAACTGGAGGCTCCGGGCCGCTTTTGGGCTTCTGACTACAACATGCAGTGCTACGAGGGACCCCATCGTGTGCTGATGCTGGTCCTGGGGGTGCCTGGCGTGCTACTCTTCAGCTGTGGGGTTCCGGCCTTCAGCGCCTGGTTCCTGGGGCGGCATGTGGACAAGCTGCGCCGAAGGTATGTGGGTGCCGTAACTGCCGTACACCCGTGAGTGCCGTAGCTGTTTTCGATTGGAACTGGTGGGTACCCTGTACATACAGAAAACCATACGAGGTGGGAAGCGTGCTAGGTGCATGAAACCCACGCGGCTGACAGGAAGCAGAAAGCATTGCCTATTTGTGTTGTTGCGCTAACGTTCCGTACAACGCCGCAAAGAAGAGATCTTGAAGATCTTGGCTAACTGCGATGCTGTTGCATGAACCAGTTGTCGCTTTGGCATTAATTGCGGATGCACACTCGAAATCCCAGGCCGCTTCCTACATGCATTTTCAAACTACTAAGCAGCTGCGCAACCTCGATCGTTCGCCAACGCAAGGCACCAGGTCCCCGATCAGCGACCGACTAACTGACGGGGGTTTCCATCGCTAGGTTATAAGCCTGCATTAGAGGCAATAGTGCATCAGATGCTCGCGTGGTGTAGCGGTGATCACTGTGGACTTTGAATCCACCAACCCGAGTTCGAATCTCGGCGCGAGCTTCCTTTTGGAAGCTCGTCGTCGTAGATCACATCATTTGCTCCGCGTGCATTTCTAACTTAGCACACATACATATACCAATAAGATATAGTCAGCTTCGCTTTTTACAGAGAGGGGCGGGAGGATGTCGTGTCATAGAAAGTGTGGACGAGCATGTTATGCCCTTTATTGGCACACGGCATCTTAATTTGTAGCCCTTGAGTTGTAGACCAGGCGTAGACCAGGCAAAACTGTTACGAGCTCGTTGTAACCCCATCAGCATGTCGCGTCCTATACTTGTACTCAGCACGGCACGGTTAGAGCATATACCGGTAGCACTAGGTCATCCAGGTGCGGCAACGGCACCTGGCTACGGCAGTGTGACTGTTGCATACATACACCACGCCCGCTCTCGTGAGTACGAATCCTCATGCCCTTAGAACCCCTTCCCAACTACCGCATTGTTGTTCGCCTTGCGCAGGAAATTCTATCAGGCGTACGGTTTCCTGTACAGTGACTACGAGGACCGGTGCTATGCCTGGGAGAGCGTCATCATGCTTCGCAAGCTCGGCATGGTGTTAGTGGTGGTCTTCCTGGGAGCCATCTCCGTACAGGTAGGAGATGTGCGGTACGGTTTTCACACACATGTGCTGGCTCGACGATGGCACAAGCAGCGGAACTTGCAGCCAGCTTATTTGTAAAGAGCTAAAGACAGTTAGACACCAAAATAATGGCTTCCTGTTGTCCGTGCCAACATCCTGCCAGGTGCAACTCCTGGTGGCGCTGGGCATCATCTTCCTCGCGCTGGCAGCCCAGGTACGGGCCCGGACTGCAGCCGAGCGAGGGTGCAGGGATGGGATTAGGTGGGTTTCCTATGTACGCTTAAAGATGTCACCAGAGGTGCACTGTACTATTGGGGGTTTGACCTCCACCACATCCTTCCTGCCACCGCTCTAATCCCCTTACATGTTTTTTTCGACCGGTATCCCCTGTAACGCCCATGCACCTGAACCCCATTCCATGCAGACGCTGTACGACCCGTATCGCTGCCCCCGCATGGACAACTTGGAGCGCCTCAGCTTGTACGGCACCACAACCATCATCTACATCGCGCTGTTCTTCCTGCTCGATGTGGGCGACACGGCGGCGCTGGTGCTCACGGCGGCACTCGTGGGGCTGAACGGCTGCTTGGTGGCGTGGTGGGCTGGGGTCTGGGCTTGGTCGGGTGGGATGACCCAAGGTTGTCGGCGCATGTGCACTCAAAGCTTTCGACGCATGTGCTCATATGCGCTAAAAGAGTCAGCTCACACGTGTCTGTTAGTACTTGAGGGCATACCGAATTACCAATGTTGTATAAACCATAATGGGGTTAATAATGCCAAGGATTGCCAACCATACGTTATGTTGTGGGGGCCGTGGGCTTATCCATGATTGCCATATGACCAAACCCTACTTGCACCATCCCGGCAGGTTCATCGTGGTGCTGTTCAGAGAGGTCGCTCGTGGCCTCATGCGCAACTTGGATCTGGATCGTAACGGAGTGCTGACGGCATCAGATGTCATGCGCGTAAGTGCCATGCCAGGAAGCCATGCTTTGCCATTACATGGATGCCTGCCAGACACCGGCTGCTGTATGCTCAGCAGGGTTTGCCTCTCCACTACAAGACCACGGCAGTTGCATTGCCTCACGTTCCGTTCACCATGCGCTTCCAAAGCACAGCACTCTTAGCAGCTGTTGTTGATGAGTTGCTTACGAAGGCATAGTGCATGTTAGCTGACTATGTGATCCTTCTGTCGAGCTTTCTTTCCCTGCGTATCCGCTCCGTTCAGAGTTTGGACGCCATGTCTATCAAGTACCCTTGGCTGGCTCGCCGACTCCTGGCAGTGGATGCCTGGGCGCGCAGCCACGCCTTCGTCGCGCGCATCCTGTCCTACTCCTACCCTTACGGAGAGCTGTCTTCACCCTGGCTGGCGACCGATCGCTTGCCTGACGCGGCGAACCTCAACTCGGCGACCGTGCCTGGCTCTGCCTCCGCCGACACAACCGGGGCTGCTGCTGCTGCTGCCTCGGCTGAAGAACGACAGCCGTCCAGTGAGTTGGCCAGAGCTACTGAGGCCACCGAGGTAACGGAAGTTCAAGAGGTGGTGGCTTCAAAGGCGCTTGCCGCCGCCGCCTGTGGCAGCAGCGGCACTACCAGCCGGTGTAGTAGTGCGGTGGGGCGCGGCAACGACAATCACGGCGATGTCGAGGCCCCGCGTGATGTGCCGTTGCTTCCTCTGCCTCTTGGCGATCTTCCAGCCTACAACCGAGCTATGTCTGCAGCGAGGTCCTCAGCGGGCTCTGCACCCTCCGTTGGTAGCTCTAGGACGCCTCACATGCAGCCGGAGGACATCCACTTGCTGCACCGTTCCGTGGACGAAGCAACTCCCACGGTAGCAGCAGCACCGGCAGTGGCAGGCGCCGCTGTCGCGGCCTACGCAGGCGCCCTGCCGGCAGGAAACCGCGCCGTTTCACCTCGTCCTACCTCACCGCTGGGAGTGGCTAGCAGGGCAAGTAGCGCCAGCACCCGTCCGGGATCACGCGGCGGGGCTGCCAACATCTTTGGCATCTTCTCAGCCGGTGAGCGTCGTGGCAGCGTCGGTGGCGGCGTTGGCAGCCGAGCTGGATCCATAACTTCCAAGGTGTTTCCGGAGCCTGTTACTGCGCAAACGCCAGTGGCCGCGAATCCGATGACGGCGGCTGCAGCGGTTATGGTTGCAGGGCTAGGGAACGCCGCGGTGGCGACAGCCGGGGATGCCATCGCCCTTCGCACGTCACAGGATCGCCGTCCGGGCAGTCCAGGTTTCGGACCTAGGCCTAGTCCCAGATCGAGCCCAGTGTGTGGTAGCATGGCGGCCGCAGGCAGCAGCATGCAGTGCAGCACCGGAGGCGCGGCTGGCTCCGTTGGAGCTGCTGGCGGTGTCTGCAAACCCCGCCGCAGCATGTCTGCATGGGAGGAAGCTGCTGGAGAAGGTAGCCGTCTGCAGGTAGTGGACGCGGAAGGGGAGGCTGGCGTCTTAGCGCCAGCGCCGGTCTGTGACAGCAGCACCGGCAGCCGTCCGGGGAGCTCCCGGCCAGCACCGGCACAAGGCCGCCACTCCTCCACCACTCCATCCTGTAGCCTCCCTCCAAGGGGTCCCTCTCCCGGCGTGTCCGCGTCGCAGCAAGGAGTTAGCAGTACGCCGTACAGCCCCTCAGCCCCGCCCTCATCGCCACTGCGGTCATCCACGCCACGGGAGGAGCTCTTGCAACCGCAAGCCGCGGTACCAAGGCAAGAACCACAGCAGCAGCTGCTGCCGCAGGAACAGCAAATACCCGGAGAGGCGGAAGCCGTGGAGGTCTTGGAACCTCCTGGCAGGACATTGTCGGTTGATTCTAACGGTAGCCGGATTATGACGGCGCCTGGACGTACGTCAACCGCTGCCAGCCCCGTCCCGGGTGTTCCCCTCGGCGCACCGGTGGCGGCAGCGACAGCGACAGGTGGGTTCAAGGAGCCCATCTTTGGATCGGCGCCACATTCAGCGGCCACGCTACCGGGTCTTGGGCAGCATGGCGGGCCTGAGAATGAAGGGGCTGCTGGTGGCGCTGCTTGAGCCATCAGTGGCGGCAGGGGCGAGAGTTACTGGATGCAATGACGATTACAATGGTTCATTGTATCCATCGTGGATTGTAAGGGAACAGCGGAGGGTGGTCTTTTTGGGAGTTCCGGAACTTACCATGTTCGTGTCTCTTGCTAGGACTGCGCATTCGGGTGGTGCTAACCGCTACGTTTAGTTGCTCACCTTTTTGCCACGAACACAAAAGCTGTCAAGTGCCTTCCAAGCGCTGCCTGCTGTGCTTGCTGCTTGGACGACCTTTCTAAAGCTTGTACTGCCTTACGCTGCTTTGGTGCTTATGTGGTACACACAGCTGACAATATCCATTGCCTGCACTTCCATACGCGTGTTAGAAACGGCATTCCACTGCATCAAGGAAACTGCCAGGTGTCCGTGCACACATGCATACGTTCCTACTCGCGGCCAGTGTCCATTAAAACATGCATGCGCGCCCATATGCATATGCGTGATGCCCTGCGTGCTATTGGATGCATAGGAGGGTTGCGTCCGTACGAGCAGGCAGGTATACTGCTGTCGCATGCATGAGGCGTTTCAGCCTGGCCCCGTCGTCCTGATGCTGGGCAGGTGAACTGAGAATGCCGCAGAACACGCGGATACACTGCGGCATGAGGAAGTCATGTCATTTGGCCCAAAATGCTAAATTATACTCGTCAATTACCGTTCATCCTGCGCCTTCAATACGCAACATTCAGTTTGGCTTTGTCGCTGTTATCGTTGGATTGCTTACTGAGGTGCTGCATGATAGTTGGCTACCGGTAACTGTGATTCGTGTACTTGGGAAGCAGAGGACATGTGCACGTGTGTGCCTTTCGCTAGCTGCTTGGATAGGTGCGGTGGCGCTCTGCGTTTTCCTCACGTCGTATCTGTGCACATTTGGTTGCAAACTTTGCGCCATTGCCGTGCTGCTGTGCACAAAACCTTCGAAGGAGCAGTGTAGGACAAGCGGCTTTGTTTTTTGCTGGCAGGCAGGATTCCCCATAAGTGTTAGGGCTTAGGGGATGGCATGCCGACGTGGCAATTGCAGTGGGTAGGTTTATAGAGAATGTAGACCCATAATGCGAACTATTCGATATGGTTTTACAAGCTTGCTACTGCTTGCTACTGCGTTATTCTAGTGGGTTTTTTTACCGAGGCATTCCCCTTAGGCAGGTGCCAAGTTTGGCGTACCTAGGAGGCGACAGAGGACGTGTTCAGGAAGGAGAAGGACGAAACCTCCTTATGCAGGCTCTTCGGAGCTATGTTTATCCTGCATCCTAGACTTTATTCGTTGTCAGGAGAGAGGCGCTGTCGAGGGCAAGCTCAGGCAATGGATTAACAGTCTAAATGTCGATGTAATTGTTGGGTTTGTGGATGTGTATCCTTGGAAGCGGGGAGGATGTTTGGTGCGGCAAATGTGCCTTTGTTGTGGCCTTGAGTCTATTCTTACACCAGTATGGCGTTATCCATGTACGGCTATACAAAACGAGAACCCAGCACGTGCCCAGCGTAGCGATCCCCACGGCCCCCAGTACCGCACATCGAGGCTCCAGTATTTAAAGTGCTGATCCCATGCAGGGCCCAAACTGCCCCGTACGGCAGCAGGCTTACCAGCGACAGAGCCGCAAGGAAGGCACCAAAGACGGCCGCACGAACGCACCAAATGAGGAGGCCGAGAAATTGATGACCCATGGGTCGCGCTGCTGCTCCTGGCTGCCGGCGCTGCCACGAGGCCACCAGGCACAGCCAGGTGAGTCGGAACACCAGCGTGAAGTGGCGGGTAGTAGTTATAGAGATGATCATGGTTATGGCAAGCGCTCCAATGTTAAGGCGCCCCCTATGCAGCAGCTTTTACAGCATGTCAGTGCGCCCTCGCGGACTGACTCAATGACAACGCTCCTTCCGAGACTGATGCCGAAACCTAACCCGCCGGCAGGCGCACTCACAGGCAGAAGCAGTGCCTAAAACTTTCAAGTGGCGGCCGTTGCATGCGAAGTATGTTGCGGACTTGCCCTCCGGGCGGCTGGGTCAGCTCCCGCCCCCAGCAGCTGTTGTACAACGGGCGCATGGCCGTACGTGGATGCGTTAACCAGAACGTCCCCAAAGACCCCCTCCCCGCCTCTCCCTGCTGCTACCGCCACCGCTGCCCTCTCCGCCATTTCCTGCAGCCCCCACCAAACCAGATGCAGCTGGCCCCAGCTTGCTGCCATGAGCAAACAGTAACTAACGGCAGCGGGGGCTTTGCTCTGCGGGATCCTGAGCAAGCCGTGGCAGGTGTAGACCTTGAGGATTGCATCGTGGGCGCCGTAGCGAGCCCTCAGGTAGGTGCTGGCGCCGGCCGGCTGCCTGATCGCGGCCTGCCAGGCATCACGAAGCGCGCGGCAGGAGGCGTAGGCGCCCGCTGCACCGGTGGCCCCTGCGGTTAGAATGCGGTCGTGGAGGAGTTCTAGTGCCCTCTCCTGTACGACACCGACATGCGGAGCCACCCTACCACCAAATCCAGGGGGGCCCTCGTGGGTCCCCATCCAGGATCCCGTGTCATACCATACCCCCGGCGCGTGCCGAGCAGCCTCACAGACCCCCTCAACGTAAAGGTCACCGGCGACAGCGCCCCAATAACCCAGCCACCGCAAACACCGGGGCGACCCTCTTCTTCCTCAGCCGCCTAGCATGGCAAAACCGCAGCCCCTGCTGCAGCCCCCGTTTGCAATTACGAACGTCCACAGGCTGGGTAATGTTGGAAAGAGGATGCGGAAAAGCAGCAACTGGGCAAGGGGAGAAGCTGCAAAATTGCCTCTAGAATTGGGGCAGGATATGGATCTCTCGGTTAACACGATACAATATAGGGATACCAAGGGCCAATGCAATGCGGGGCAGGCCAATCAGGGGCTTTCGGCTTGTCTCAGCTGCTGGTCGCATCGGGCGGGCCTGTTTTTTTTGGTTCCGGTGCTACGGTTGATGAGGAGCTTGCCATCAATGTTTGCGCTTTGCTTACATGTTAAGCTGATTTCACAACACCTATGCATGTCACGACACAATTACCTGCTGCGAACTCAAACTTGTCTCTCAAGGAAGCCAAGCAGTCAACGCCAGCTCACACCATGTCTTGCACAACTTTTGAAGCACTATTGAATTCATAATAACGAACATCTTTAGACAATCTGGCTTTGCGCGGCCCCTTAGCTGACCAGCATGCTCATTGGTTGCAAGCGAGAATGACAAAAGGCGCAGATCAGCACAAACCACACAGCGTCAAGGCCACAACAGTAGCAAGATCACCGGCGAAGAATGCCACCGCGAAGACTGTAGCTGGAAGCAAGGGAGCCAGTCCTTCGACAACGGGCTCGACGCGACCGCAGCCAGCAAAGACTAACCATGTTTCCCCCGGTGCCAAGGAACCTGCTAACAAAGCGGAAGACAAGTCTCCGACGCCGGCCCGCAGAGCCATGGAGGGCCCGGAGCTTGCAGAGCCATCTGTGGCCGAGGTGGAGAGCCAAATCCAGCAGCTCCTGAGCATCGCGGACGAGCAGGAGCCCCCGCAGGAGTTGACCTTGGTATGCGGGATGTTTGGGCGTCGCTTATGGGCCCACTACTGTGTGCTGTTCCAGTAGAGCCATCCTTGCTCCTTCCGTCTTCCGCGTCCACGCGAGAACACCACCTACGCGCACCAAAAACTCTTTAATAGTTCCGCCGCTCTTTCCCCTTCCTTACAACCCAACAGGACCTCGTCATCAAGGCTCACATCATAGAGGAGCCAGGCACCCGAAGCGCTGCCAGGTGCGAATTGGCGACTGCAGTTTGCCCAACCCACAGGCATCTTCTCCCTCTACACGCAACACGAGCTGCCCCTCCATAAGCACCATCCCATGCCCCTAACCTCCAGCACGATTCGGAGGCACACCTTCCTCGCTGTCCGCCCCCTTTCCCGCCTCCAGCGAGGTCTTCGTACGGCAGCTGAGCCACGTGCGGCTGGACCGCCAGCGCCTCGCCTCGCTGCCCGCCGAGGTGCTCCGGCAGCTCCCCGCCGCCAGCCACCTCTTCCTGCAACACAACAGGCTGACCAGCACGGCGCCGCTGGCAGCGCTGCCAGGACTCAAGTTCCTGGCGCTAGGGCACAACCGCATTGAGAGGGTGAGTTGGCAGGGGATCTGGGGAAGTAGGTGGGGAGGGGCAGCTGCGTTACAGGAGGTGGCGGAAAGGGAGGTCGGGAGCGTAGGCCCCTTGCATGATGATTCGTATATACGCTCCTGCCTTTTTGTTGCTCCATGGCATGCGGGATGCTGGCATGCGCTGACCACTGCATGTGCGCGGCATGCATGGCAGGTGGAGGGACTGGAGCAGCTGACGCAGCTCATGTTCCTGGACCTGTCGTGCAACCGGATCCAGAGCCTGGACGAGCGAGCCCTCCCTGCCAGCCTGCAGTTCCTGAAGGTAACAACGCTGCCAGAGTGCCCCCCTCTAGCTGCCATGATTGCACAACTTGCTACAGCCCGTGGCGGATATTATGTGTGCCAGGGCCACAGATTAATATGGTATACGTCATGGTGACATGCGGCATAGCATGAATCTTGGGGCCTTGACAGCCACGGAAAAGTCCATGTAATAGGGCGATGATGCGGGCGGACCTCTGCCATCTCTCTTGACTGAGGGTGGCAGGGGAAAGCCCTGGAGCGGATAGTGGAGGGCACGTGCCGGGGGCTAGGCAGGCGGTCTGGCGGGTGCGAGGGGATGTGGGTCAGTGCAGCCGTGGACCATGGGTCTGCGTGCTGCTGCTGAACTCCATCTCCTAAACACCTTACACGAGGACTGCCCCCGGCCCCCATGGATGCGGCCCAATGCCAAAGAACATTCCCTCCTGAGCCCTCTTGTGTCTTCTTGGGTGCATATTGAACCGACGGCTTACTCCATATTCTCTTCCGGGGTAGTGGGGATGGGATTGTCATGCGGCTGTCGTGCAAACAAGCCCGTGCGGAGCCGAGCTGAGGATCCAGCAGTACTTGCTTGGTGCTCACCACTCAGTAACGGCCCTTTCTGATGTCTGACTGGGTCCGCCGCTCCGCTTCAGAACTACGAAAAATCGGTATCCCCTTTTCCGCTTGATCTCGGCATGTTCCCTCACACCACCGCATGCAACCGCCGTCCTCCGCTCCTCCCAGCTGGCGGGCAACCCTTGCGCGGAGGGCCATGTGAAGCGCTACACGTTGCGTCGAGCGCTGCGGAGCCGCTGCCCGCAGCTGCTTCACATGGACCGGGACCTGGACGAGACCGGGGAGGAGATCAGCGACGAGGAAGACGATGAGGAGGAGGAGGGGGAGGTGAGCAGGCAACGCTGGGGGAGAGAGGGGAGAATGATGGGGATGAAGGCAACCATGTAAGAGCCAGGGCAGGGCCATGACCTCATTTCCTTGCGCCGTCGCTACGCCCCCCAGTCACCCGTAAGCTGCATGCACACCCTTCTCCAAAAGCCTTCCTTCATTCGGTGTGCACCGCCTTACGGCACTGCTCCTACAGGCCAGCGCCGGTCCTTCACCTTCGGGCGGTGACGCCACAGGCGATGCCCCTAGCGCCACTAACGGCGGCCAAGTTGAAAGCAACGACCCAGGCAGCAGCAGCGGCGGTATGATGGACGGCGTGCTGGACTTGCTGGAGGACTTGGAGCGCATGGTGTACCGGGGCGCCTCGGGGCGGAGGGAGGCCATGACGCGGTCTGCGGTCAGCGGGTGAGCGGGGGGCCCGGCGTGTGGTGGAGGTGGGCACTTGCCATGGAAGGGAGCTTGTTTGCGAGCGAAAGTACCATAGATTGCTTTGGTTGAAGTGGTAGTGTGGACCTAACGGCAGGGTCTAAACCTGATGCCAGGCTGCCCGGTGTGACCTCTCATAATGCCCCTTCTCCTGTTTAAAGATTCAATTGGTCTCTGTACCCTCACCAAGGTCTATGGAGCTGCGCTCCTCGTCCTCCTCCCGCTCCAGCCTGATGGGCACGGCAGCCCTCGGCGGAGGCCCCTCTTCGAGTCGACCCGGCACCACGGGCGGAGTCGCCACCACGCCGCCTCGACCTCGCAGCTCCAGCGGCGCTCCAGGCGCAGGTGCCGGTAGCGTCGCCCCGGCTCCTCAGCTGCAGTCGCCGCAACCACCTCGCAGTGCCGGCAGCAGCAGGCCTGGCATTGGCACGACAGCAGCGGCAACACCGCCTCGGCCGCCGTCATCCGAAGCCGGACCCCGAGCGGCCGCTGCCACCGGCGCTGCCTTGTCTCGTCAAACCTCCAACTCCTCTGCTGTCGTACCTAGCGGTCCCATGCAGCGCGCAGCTTCTCCCTCGAGCCGGCCCCTCTCCGGCTCACGCCCCCTATCAGGTGTCTCGGCCTCAGCACCCATGGCTGTACCCGCATCCACGCCCACACAGCCCATGTCCTCCAGCCGGCCGGGATCCTCCAGCAGTGGGATGGGCACCTTAGGTCCCCGCCCAAGCGTTGGACTCGGCGGCGGCGTAGGGGCC